AAAAAAAACGTTTTCTTAATCATTTACATAAAAAAGCAAATGGAAATATTCCTTAAAACAGTTTAATAGGATTTCTAATTCTCATTATACATTTATTCATCATTAGTGAATTTAAGACCTGAATAATTTAAATGTCTTTAAAATAACAGATTAATAGATAAATAAAAAATAATAATTAATACCTTTTGCAGTTGCTTTAAGATTTGAAAAGCATTATATAAGGTGATCTTAATATTTACTTTAACAGAGAACTAGTCTTCCTACATACGGTTTCTTCTTAGGCCACTGGCTATTTACTAAATATATGCATCAGAATCACCTAGGGAGCTATTATAAAATACAGGTGCCAGAGCCCTGCTCTTGATTATTCTCATTCAGAATTGGGCTGGAATCCAGAAACAATATTTTGTTAAGTCTCCACCAAGTAATTCTAACCAGTCATCATTATCTAGTCAATTAGACTAATATGAACATTAACATCTGTTTCCTAGATAGAGAATCATGAGAAAAGTAGCACAGGAATACTAGATTCCAATAGAAAACTAATCTGGGTTATTGGTTTTTGCAAACAATCAATATATAATAAAATAATTCTTGAACAAACATAATTATGACAAAAATAGCATTTGATCAAACATTTCATCTCAGCAAGAGGAAAGAATTAACATTAAAGGAATATCACACTCATTTTTAGATATCAATATTCTATTTAAAGTTTCTGATAACCCCAACAAGAAAAAATAAAAATGTTAAAAGGTAAAACATTATTATGTAAAACTTGTACGAACTGATACACAAGGCAAGATTGAGGTATGTAATTGGAAACATTTTAAGAAAATTTCAAAGGCACAGTAAAGAGATTGCCAATGAAAAGTACGAAGATGCTAAATAAACAGAAATGAATCAAGTTCACAGATCATTCCATGAACTATAAGGTTCAGAGCTCATAGTTCATTCCATTTGCTTTGTCAAAAAACAAACTACCAGGGGTACCTGGGTGGCTTAATCAGTTAAGCGTCCGACTTTGGCTCAGGTCATGATCTCACGGTCCATGAGTTCGAGCCCCAAATCAGGCTCTGTGTTGACAGCTCAGAGCCTGGAGCCTGTTTCGGATTCTGGGTCTCCCTCCCTCTCTCTGCCCCTCCCCTGATTGTGCTTTCTCTCTCAAAAATAAATAAATAAACATTAAAAAGTACTACCAATTTCAGACTGAATCTAATATGTAATGATATAAAGGGTTACTAAACAAGATAAAATAATTTCTTAATATTGGATATATTTGAACCGGACTGTTAGGATGAACATTTTCCGTGAAGGAAAAAATATTCCCCCCAAATTGGCATACCTGGTCAAACTGAAGATCTTCACCTCTTTGAAGAGATCTAGACAATGGCTTCTCCTACAGTTAAAAAGAAGTATAAGCACAAAATATTAGCAATCTTATATATGATAAGCAGATTCGTCGGTTGGTTTTGTTTTTGTTTTCATTTGTAATTAGATTTGATTAAACAAAGGTAAGACTCCCTCTTGCCCAGGGTCACATAATTAGCATTCAAGTCCCAGTAGTATGGCTCCAGAGCCAGATACCCTCCAAAGAGAGTGCCCATAAGTCACATGATTGGGAAGGGGGGGGGGGGGGGGGGGGAGGTTGCCCACAGTAGACAGAAAAGAAATACTGGGAGATGATTCCTAGGTTTCCAGTCTGTGCATAGATGGAGGAATGGTGGTACCATCCTCTGAAAGTGGGAACACAATGAGAAGACAGTTTGGGTGGAAGGATAGATTTCAGTCATGTTGAGTTTTGAAGTCCCTATAAGCCATAAAAGAGAAGATGTTGACTAATAAGGGCTTGAAGAACACAGAACAGATTGGCCTGTGTATAGAAAGGAACCAAATTCATAAAACAAAGTCATTTACCTAAAAAAGAAAAAGTAAGAAGAGGGCCTAGATTTGAATTTTGAGAAATGCAAACAGTTAACGTTAATGTACTCAACCACATGAGATTATCAGTGGCTCCCTAAATTCCTTCAATTTAAAATGACCCATTTCTAAAAACAGAAACCTTTCTTACAATGTTCATGTGGAGAAATAATCAGGAATAAGAAAAACTTCAAACACAGTAGATCGCTGTATCAGTAAAGAAAACACAAACAAATACATATGGGAACATAATAAGGGTAGAAATTCAAACACTGGGGCAAAGATGGAAAATTTAACATATGGTGTTGGGACAGTCAGGTTGTCAGAAGGAAAAATTAAACAGGCTCATTACCCTAGTGAATCCTAAATGTTTTAAAAGTTTAAATATAAGAAATAAAATCACTAAAATCCTCGAAGACAAAGAAGTCCTAGATGATGGTAGTTTTGTGTGTTTTTTTTTAAACAAGCTTAGTCCTTTCTAAATATGAACAAAATGCAGAAGCAAAAAAGAAAAACAGCAAATTCAACCACATATAAATAAAAAATGAAAAAGTATATGGGTGGTAAAAAAAAAAGTGACAAGATAGGAAAAATATCTACAACAGATATTTAGACTAAGGTATAATTTCCTTAACATACAAAAAGTTCCTATAGATCAGTAGGGGGAAAAATCCAATAATCCAATAGAAAAAACGTACAAAGAATCAACAGATAGCTGACAAAAAGGAAATGTTTACAGCTCATACATATCTGTTCATATACTTAACCTCATTCACAAGAGCAAGACAAGTTAAAAACACAAAGAAATCCAATCTATTAGACTTCCAAAGACCTCCAAAAGTCTGAGCACGATGTGTTGAAGTTACCTACTACTGAACAGAACTCTCAAATAATGTCAATGTGTAAATGGGGAACAATCTCCTTAGAAAACTATCTGGCAATATTCGGCAAAGTTTTGAAATGTACACATCCTTTGACCCAGGAAAAATTTCACTTATAAGTATTTGTCTTATATAGTCACATATCTGCAAAATGATGTTCATAAAAGAATATTTGCTATAGCTTCATTTGCAAAAGCCAAGATTAGAAAAAAATAAAAGCCTACCTATATTAATATACATCTATAGAATATCAAGAAGACTTTTTTTTTTAACATGAAATTTATTGTCAAATTGGTTTCCATACAACACCCAGGGCTCATCCCAACAGGTGCCCTCCTCAATACCCATCTCCCACCCCCCATCAACCCTCAGATTGTTCTCAGTTTTTAAGAGTCTCTTATGGTTTGGCTCCCTCCCTAACTTTTTTCCCTCCTTCCCCTCCCCCATGGTCTTCTGTTAAGTCCAAGAAGACTTTTAAAAGAATGGCAAAGCTCAGTATGTATTAACGGAATAATCTAGGTATAATGGGTGCATACCACTCACACATACATACACACACACACACACACACACACACACACACACACACACGCTACTAAATAATATAGAATACCTCTTTAAAAAAATAAAGAAATACGTGTTTGCAAGTGGGAAAAGAAACTGGGACAGTTTGGATAAGGGGAGGGTTTGGGGCTGGGAGTAGAAAATTGCTACTACAGATTTTTGTACCATTGAACTTGCATACCACAGTAGCCAAGGGAAAAAACTACATAAAGAAAGACATAGTGTATTGACAGTGAAACAGAATAGTTTCATGAGGTGACCTTTGAGTATGGTTGCTTCCTCTTAATTTAAATGGTACCAGGAAAAGTTTCTGATTTAGTGTTGTGTCTTCCTTCAGCGCACAACAGTGTTGGAATCTTTTTTTTTTTCATTTGTTCTATTAATTTGTTTACTAAAAAAACAAATACTGAGTTCCTATTATGAGCAAGCAGCATCTGTGAACCAAAGAGGGCTCAGAGGACTCACTGTGGAAAGCTTAGACCCTTTACCCTTCAGCTACTGGGTCTGGGGGACAAAACTTATAGTAAAGTCCTCCAACCCTCTCTCACCTGAATGCCTACTCTTTCTTGCTTATATGAAGAGATGACCCAAAAGGGATCCCTCCAGATCACTGTCTAGAGTTAGTATAGAAAGACTGTCATCGGTACATAAAGTGGACTCCATCCAGTAGAAAACAAAGGAGTGAAGGAATGGGTTATGATGCGACCTTGCAATGAGTTGAGAGGAGGGTGAGCAAAGAAAATCCTAGACAGATAAAAATTTTGATGGGTACTGGACACGGTGATGATTAATTTTATGTCACAGGGTGCCCAGATATTTGGTTAAACATTTTCTGGGTGTGTCTGTGAGGATGTTTTGGGGAAGAGATTAATATTTGAATTGGCAGAGTGAACAACTGGTAGAGTGACCTGAAAGCAGGTAGACTGAGACTCCCTAATGTGAGTGGGCCTCATCCAATCAGTTGAAGGCCTGAGGAGCATGAATAGGTGGACTCTTCTGAGAGGAGTAAGAACTCCTCCTGCCTGCCTGCCCTGAGCTGGGACACCTCAAACTGAAACATGGGTTCGTCTCGGAGCAGCTTTCAGACTGGAACTTATACCAGCAGCTCCCCTCGGTCCTCAGCTTACCCACTCCAGATCTTGGGACTTCTCAGCCTCCAGAACCACATGAGCCAATTCCTTGTAATAAATTTCTTTTTAGACACATACACACCCTATTGCTTCTGTTTTTCTGGAGAAACTCATAAAAACATCTTTTCAGGTTTGATTTCCTCTTTGATCCAAGGAAAGAATATGTCCCAGGGGAGAAAAAGGTGTCCACATTTACAAAAGATATACAGAAGGACATTAACTAAGCAGTTAAAAATAAGAAGCAACATGGGGTGCCTGGGTGGCTCCGTCGGTTAAGCGTCTGACTTCGG